GCGCGCGATCCCCTCCCCGGAGGGGAAAACACGCAGACACATGAATCGCTGATTCCCAGGAGGACGTGGACAAGAAGCTGGGACGTGGGAGGGGAAGCCGAGCCTCTCCGAACCTGTGGAAAGATTAAGGGGAAGTCCCGGGATATCTGTGCCTTTTGTGTTTGCGTGTCTTTGGGCCCCTTCACTCGGTGGCGGCAAAGAGGGGGGTGATGACTAGGGGGGGGGGGGAAATCATGGCGGGGGCCATGATATCTCCCCAGATCTCATTGGCCCTCTTCTTGTTTCACAACGTCCCCGCCCCCACCCCCTGGGCCGCGCACATGCCGCCAGCCATGATTTGAACCCCCCCCTCTTGGACGCCCCCCACTCTTGGCCGCTCCCGATTGCGTGTCCTTGGGACCCTTCGCTCTATTCTGCCTCGTTCTCCTCCTCGCCGATATTTTCCCAGGGCCTGTCTAGGCCCCTATCGCCTGTCTCCTGGTTGATCACCCAGCTTCTGCTGGCAGCCGTGTCAAATCCTGCGAGTTTTGCCGGGTGCCTCTCCAACTGATCGCTTGCCTGAGCGCCCACGTCTCAGTTTTGTATGATGGCCTATGCTGGCCTGCTGCTCGCCCTGGACTCCTGGCAAACTCGAATCACGGCGCACCTCAATGCTTAAGTCGGGCCTGTCCCTCTACAGGAGAAATACTCAAGAATGATAAAAAATAGTCTGGCGACTATTGTTGGTACTGTTTTTCAACATTCGGGGGGCATCTTGTTACTATTTTTCATTCTCGTGCAAACATCCCCTTGTATGGGGGACATGCCCGACCTACCTCTATGCCGCTTCATTCTGGCGATCGCAAAGATGGATCAAGGGGGCGTGGATTAGCGATGGATCCCGTTTCCATGGGAAATCGTGGATTTCCGCCAAGAGCCGGCCGCGCTTTGGGGAGGGCACCTCCCCCGATCCATGGATTCGGCGACCACGCGCCAAATCCATGGATCGCTAATCCATGTCTGCGCGCCCTCGAGAGGAGGAGGAGGAGGAGGAGGCGCAGGAGGAGGCGCAGGAGGAGGAGGAGGAGGAGGAGGAGAAGGAGGAGGCGGAGGCGGATGAAGAGGAGGAGGAGGAGAGGGAGAGGGAGGCGCAGGAGGAGGAGGAGGAGGAGGAGGCGGAGGGAGGGGGTGGGGAGGAGGAGGAGGAGGCGGAGGACCCAAATCGTTATTTTTCTCCCCCCCTTCGCTGGCCGAGAGCGGCCGGGGCCTTCGCCGGGCGGGGGCGGACGCCAGCCGGTGGGCACGGGCACGCGGGGGCCCGGGGGGGGGGGCCTCCTCCTCCACTCCTCCCGCCTCCCTCCCCCCCGCTCCCTCCGCCTCCTCCTCCCTCCTCCTTTCTCCTCCTCCTCCGCCTCCTCTCCTCCCTCCCTCCGCCTCTCCTTCCTCTCCTTCCTCCTCTCCCCTCCTCCTCCTCCTCCCTTTCCTCTCCTCTCCTCCTCCTCCATCCTCCTCATCCTCCTCCTCTCCTCCTCCTCCTCCTCCTCCTCCTCCTCCTCCTCCTCTCCTTCTCCCTCCTCCTTCACTCCTCCATTTCTCTCTCCGCCTCCTCCTCCTCCTCCTCCTCCTCCTCCCTCCCTCCTCCCCGCGTGCTCCACGGGCTGCTGGAGCGAGCGCGCAGCATCGAGCGCGAGATAGCCCCTGGCCGTCATAACAGGATGAGGGTCCGAGGAGGACAAGGTACCCATGCCTCTACCCCTTCCTCGTTTTCCCCTTTTTGGGGCCTCCTCGGGTGCCCTCGTCGCCACCGCTGGATTCGCCTCGATATTCAAGTCAGAACGCGCCCCGTTAGAGGTCCAGGGAGTGGCGGTATTGGTACTACTTGGTTTCCGCAGAAGACGCGACCTCACAGAGGTCCCTGCCTTCGCATTAGGGATAATCGATCCGGGCGCCTTGGCCTGGTACAATCTGCAGAAAAGTTTCATCTATCCCTAATGCGTCTGGCCTCCCAACTTAGATCGCCTCCCAAAGGGTTAGGGTTCTTGTTGGGTTGATGAACGCGGCAGCCGCGCAGGCGTTGGCACGTGCACGGGAAAGTGGCATACAGTCGAGAGTGATTCCAGTCGGATCGATGTATCAGATCGAGGACGGTTCGGGGAGGGTGCCCTTGTGTTCTTCGTGGTTGCTGGATGTATTTGTGCACTCTGGGGAGGGTACCCTTGGATGTTGTGGTTCTTTTGGCCGACGGGGGTCTCGTGTTCTTGAAGGATGTTCTTCGGGTCGAAGTCCGACTGTAGTACAGCGGAGGCCCATGCCAAGAAACACCCTGCTTGCTTCCAGGGTACCCTGGGTTTCATGGGTTTCGATGGTTTTGCTATAGAAAGCGTGACGTTCCCACGCCAAACATCACTGGACGTCCTGGGGTCTCAGGGTTACGTTTCTTGCGGACGGTCTCTTGTGGTCGAGCCTCTACTGTAGTTCGACCTTGCCAAATCAAAGGCACCCTTGTGCCCTGTGTCTCTCGACCCATGCCTTCTGCACTCCCAAGGCGGCGGTGTGGACCTCAGAAGGGCTCCCCCTCCCTCCCCCTTCCTCCTTCCCCCTCATCCCCCCTCCCCTCCCTCCCTCCCTCCTCCCCCTGCCCTCCCTCCCCCCTCCCCCCTCTTCTCTCTCTCTCTCTCTCCTCCTTTCCTCCTCCCTCCCCCCTCCATCCCTCCCCCCTCCCCCCTCCCTCTCTCTCATCGGCCGGGCTCATTCGCATAGTTTCTGTTTTTTGTTTTCTGTATAAACAAGTGTCCTCTCGCGCGCCCTCTCCGCTCAGCCCCTGTTGGTGCGGTCAGGGCGCCAGAACAGAAAAGGCGCTCTCGGGGAGGGGGGGGCCTCGGAGTGCCGCGCCCTGCCTGCAAGTTCGGCGATCTCGTGGGACCCGCTCGTGGCCCGGGCCCGCCGAGCCCAGCCTCGCTCCGTGCTCTCTGCGCCTTCTTCCTTCTCTGCTCTCTGCTGTGGGCACACACTCTCGTAGCTCCTCCTCCTCCTCCTCCTCCTCCTCCTCCTCCTCCTCCTCCTCCTCCTCCTGGAGTGTTGGCATCTTCGCCGGCCCCCCCCCCCCTCCCCTGGCGGCGCCCCCTGGAGCCCCAGCCGCGTCCTGCGTTCTGCGCTCTGCGCCTCCCTCCTGGTACAGCGCGGTGACTGTGAGCACACACTCCCGGAGCTCCGCACGGAGTTCTTCCATCTGCGCTGGGACCCCCCCTGGCGGCGCCTCCGGCGCCGCCCCCAGATAGGAGGAGGAGGAGGAGGAGGAGCAGGAGGCGGAGAAGGAGGAGGAGGAGGAGGAGGAGGAGGCGGAGGAGGAGGAGGAGGAGGAGGAGGAGGAGCCCCACGCGCCAGTGGGGGCGGGGGGGGGGGCGCAGCGCTGATCCAAGAGAAGCCGGCGCGGAGCTGCGGCGGCCAGCTTCTGTTTGTGCCGTGTGGTTGTGTTTCCCATCCAGGGCCCCCCATTCGTCATGCAGGGAGGCTTCGAGAATCCTGGTGCTCTTCCCCCAGATCCTGGGGCTTTCACCCCGGTATCCTGGGCTGTTGTTTTGGCCCGAATCCTGGGACTTAACCGACGGCTCGACATGTCTGTTCGGGTCCCCCATCTGGGCCCCCTCTTGGAGCTGTCTTTTTGGCCGTCTGGGGCGCCTCTTGGGGCGTCTTGGAATCCTCTTGGGCCGTTTGGGGGCCCTCTTGGAGGCCTCTTGGGTCGTCTTTGGACGATCTTGGGGGATTCTAGGGCCGTTTGGGAGCGTCGGGAAGCCGAAGGAGAGAACGCCACAAATTGTCAAAAACCTATGGGGAATCAATGATGTTGGCCTCGTGGGGTCCACTTGGGAGGCCTCTTGGGGTGTCGTGGAGGCCTCTTGGTCGGTCTGGGTGCCATCTTGAGAGTCTTGGAGCGATTGTTTGGCGACTCGGGGCCCTCGTGGACGTCTTCGGGGCCTCTCGGGGCCCTCCTGCCTCGTCGTGGGGCCCTCTTGGGAGAAGATGCCCCAGAGCCCAGGGGAATCGCACCAAGCCGAAAAAGATTTCAGAATTTACGGTCCAGGCCCCTGAGGCTCAGGGGATCGGGCAAAGTACTTGAGGGCACGGTGGCACGGTGGCAAATTTATCAATGTTGCATCCTTTCTCCCTCACCTTTCCTGCTTACCATCACCTCTCCTCGTCCTCCTCCTCCTCGTCGTCCTCCTCTTCCTCCTCCTCATCCTCATCCTCATCCTCCTCCTCATCTTCCTATGTACGCAGCTCATATGTTCCGATTGTGCACGGGATGATGGGTTATGACACGCGTTCGTGGACAGAGAGAACATCAGCGCAACGGGAAGGGATGGGGGGAGGGACAGGACGTCAGGTGTGGCGCAAGCGCACTTAGCTTACCCCTGCGCGTAAAGTAGAAGAGCAGCCAACTTCGACGCTGTGGCCTACAGTGGAGGTCCATGCCAACAAACACCCTGCTTGTCTCCAGGGTGCCCTGGGTTTCTTGGGTTTCGATGGTTTTGCGATGAAAAGCGTGACGTTCCCACAATGGACGCCCTGTGGCCTCAGGGTTGGGTTTCTTGTGGAAGGTTTCTTGTGGTCGGGCCCCTACTGGGTACATCAAGTCATGACGTGCACAGCCGGAAGGAGGAACGCCACAGAGCAAGGGACAGAACAGGGGCCCGCAAGGGCGAGGAGCATGCGCACGCTTGGCAGTGGGCAAGGGGGTGACAGAGGTGAGTAGGGTCGGCAGAGCCGCCCCCTCTCCCTCCCTCCCCCACCCCTCGTCCGTGCAGGTCGTTTGCCGAATCGTCCTGGCCTTATGCTCGTCGTCGTCGTCGTCGTCGCCCTTCCTTCTGTTCCGCGAGCTTCACGCTCACGTGTCACACAGGGACCCGAAGGGCATCTAGGGCCGTCCTTCTGGACGTATGTCGCCGCCTCGCCTGGTCCGCGACCGCCGCCGCCTCCGACCTCTGGAGACCCGTCTGCCGCGGCCCCTTTGTTGGCCGAACAGAGCCTGCACACGCCGGGCTTCCCGCTCCCCGCGCCGTCTTTTTTTGGGGGGCGCCGCGTTTCCGAGGACCGGCCGCGCGAGGTGGAGGGTCAGAGGCGACGATAGGGGCGAATAGCCCAGGGGAGAGCAATACATGTATTCAGGTGCGCCGATGATCTATGTCTTCCAAAAGGCTCCAGGGCGAATACGTGTAATGCCCGCCCCTGGGCTATTCGCCCTTATCGTCGCCGCCGAGATGGAGACCATGTGTTGAGGGCTCGGCGAGAACTGCCGGAGAAGAGCAGCGTCACAAACAGAAAGTTTTCGAAGCTCCGCGCGGATCTTTGGGGTCGGCGTTGAGCCCCCCCTGGCGCCGCACCCAGCCGCGCCTCCAGCGACCTCCGCGCGCCAGGCAGGGGGTCCAGCGCGGATCCTAGAAATCCGCGCGAACCTCCAGGAGTGCATGTTTTTTGCCGTTCTGTGCTCCTGTACAGTCGGCCACCCTGCCACCTCAAGGGTGCCTTCGCGCCCAGTGTTTCGCGACCCACGCCTCCTGCACTCCTGTGGCAAATGTGGCCCTCGGAAGGGTCTCATGTCCTCTCGAGTGTCCTCGCCGATCAAGCCCGACTGTAGACAATCTGGGCTGTCGGGCCCGCGCGCCCTCCCCCCCCTCCCAGCAGTCAGGGCCCAACCCCGTCGGTCGCGCAGGTCCAAAGGGGGTGCGAGGTGCTGCTGCGCGCCGGCAGGCGTGGGGGGCTGCCCCGGGAGAAGAGGTCGGGCCTCCAGCCGTCACCTCCCCCGCCCCCACCCCCACCGGGCCATCGCCGAAGAATAGAAGAGTCTCCTGGAGGGGGGAGGGGGAGGAGAAAGATCGGATCGGATGCCGCTGCCTTTGCCCCGTGCTCGCCCTTTGGAGCCTCCGAGGGGGCCCTCGTCGCCACCGCCGGATTCGCTCAGGGATGCTGGTCAGAGAGGTTCTGGAAGAAGTGGCTTCGGTTCTTGTTGGCTTCCCCAGAAGAGGAGGCTGACGAAGAGCAGGAGAAGGAGGAGGTGTGCTGAGGGAGCAGGAGGAGGAGCAGGAGGAGGAGGAGGAGGAGGAGGAGGAGGAGGAGAAGGGGGAGGAGCAGGAGGAGGGAGGAGGATATGGGGGAGAGGCGGAGGGAAATGCAGAATGCAGAGAGAGAGAGAGAGAAACATACAGAAAGAGACAGAGAAAGAGAAAGAGAAAGAGAAACAGAGAGATTTGGCTAGACACAGCTGGCAACGCAAGCATCAGCAAGCTGGGATTTTGAGCCATGATGGAAAACACCCCGAGCAGACAACGTCATGAGGAGGGCGAAGAGGATGGGCACGGGAGAAAAAGTGGCGGGAGGGCAAGGGGAGGATTGGCGGGCAGACTCACCAGGTTACCTTGGCGCGCGAGATAAGCCACGCCCGCCACGTGTCCGATGTTGTTGCGTGTTTTGCCTGGGATGGTTTGGGAGGTCCAGATACTATCCAGAGCGTGCGTGCTTCTCATCCGTGCTCTCGCCTGGTGGCACAGAAACAGGGCCCTGGCCAAACAAGTGAAACATGATGGGGTCGATTCTCGATGCTCCGCAAAAGCCAAAACGGACGAGATAGGAGGCGTGACGGAGGAGAGTGCGGGCCTTGGCCGCAGTTGTTCGCCATTTTTGGGCGGCAACACCTCAGGCGTGCGCGGAAAGATCTGTAGGCCGTGCGATCAAGGTCGAATGCGTTCATCATTTCAGGGTCAAAGTGCTCTAGAGGGTGCTAGTGGATTCCAGGGTGTCCTAAAGGCCCCTGGTGAAGGGGAAAACGACGACGAAGAGTTGGAGGATGATGAGGGGGAGAAGGCTGCAACATCAGCAGCCAAATGGCGTGTCAGGAGACGCAAATATTATGACAGCATCTCAGGCGAAGGCGAAGGCGAAGGCAGAGGAGACAAGCGATAGTGAAGTTGGGTGATGAGAATGGCGCTCCTCGGGAAGGGCGGTTTGCTTGTTCAGGAGGAGGTGAAGGTGGAGGAGGTGGGAGGGAGAAGGGAGGAGACACGCCGGCGGATGACTGCATATGTCCATCAGTCTCGAGTGCCGAGGCGACGAGGACGACGAGGAAGGCGAGGAGGACAGGGTCAACGACGAGGGCCCTGACGACGACAATGAGGAGGAGGATGTGGAGAAGAATGAGGTGGAGGAGGAGAGGGTGCAGGAGGGGGAGGAGGAGGGGGAGGTGGATGGCGAGGAGGAGGAGGAGGAGAAGGAGGAGGAGGAGGAGGAGGAGGAGGAGGAGGAGGAGGAGGAGGAGTGGGAGGAGGAGGTCGGTGGGTTTGACTCGGTGTTGCAGCAGTCTGCACGCCGTCTTGCCGAATGCTCTTACCCCGAGGGCCAGCAGGGGGGGGATCTCTTGTCCTGGCCCCGCTCTGAGTCCCGGGCGACCAGGAACGAGAGTCCGGGGCGGCCAAGAGGGGGTGATGACTCGTCGGGGGGGGGGGGATATCATGGCGGAGGCCATGATATCTCCCCAGATTTCATGGCACGTCCCTGGCCTCCTCCACCCCTGGGTCCGACTGCGCCGACAGTCACGTGCAAGCTGCTCGCGTAGCTAACGTCATGCGTGAGCGCCCGCGTCTCCACTGTGGCTCGCCGCACTGGCGGCCCGCATATGCCACAGCATGAGGTCGCGGTGCCCTCTCGCGCAGCACCCGTTCTGGATCGTCGCTCGGGTGGGGACAGGCTCAGGCCCCAAGGGGGACGTATCGACCCCAATCGCCCACTCTTTCCCGGTAGGGGCCCGGTAGAACTTGCGGGTTGGCTATCGGGGCCGGGGGAGCACACCCCCGAGCCGTGCGACATGCACGAGAAGTCGGGCCAGGGCAGCACCCTCGGCGGGGCCGCAGCGCGTGCCGTCTTCCGCGCCCAGGGCCCAGCAGAGCTAACGACGATGCATCGCCGATCCCAGGCTCGAGGCCCCCCCCTCCGGCCCTTGAGCCAGCCCCCCCCCTTACTACAGAGCCCCTCTGCGGAGGCCCGGGCGGGGCCAGCACAGGGGCAGATCGGCACAGAGAGCGCTCCAGAGCTCAGCAGATCTCCGATCTGTCCCGGCCTGGTGCGGAGGCCGCGCGAGAGCTCGGGTCGCCGCGCGCGGCCGCCAGGATGTTCCTTCCGATGATGATGATGATGATGATGATGATGATGATGATGCTGATGCTGATGATGATGATGATGATGATGATGATGATGATGATGATGATGATGATGATGATGATGATGACGATGCTGATGATGATGATGCTGATGATTCTGATGTTGGTGCTGATGCTACTGATGATGGTTATGATGAAGATGTTGATGATTATGATGTTGGCGCTGCTGATGATGATGATGCTGATGCTGCGGATGATGATGATGATGATGCTGACGGTGATAATATTGATGATAATGCTGATGATGGTGATGATGATGGTGATGATGATGATGCTGAAGATGATGGCGGTGATGATGATGACGCTGCTGATGATGACAATGCGGATGATGATGCTGATGATGATGCTAATGAGGATGAGGATGAGGATGAGGATGATGATGAGGATGAGCATGAGGATGAGGAAGAGGATGATGGTGATGATGATGATGATGAGGATGATGATGATGAGGATGAGGATGAAGATGAGGATTGTGATATGATGAAGATGATGATGATGATGATGATGATGATGAGGATGAGGATGAGGATGAGGATGAGGATGAGGATGAGGATGAGGATGAGGATGAGGATGAGGATGAGGATGAGGATGAGGATGAGGATGAGGATGAGGATGAGGAGGAGGAGGAGGAGGAGGAGGAGGTGGAGGAGGTGGAGGAGGAGGAGGAGGAGGAGGACCCCCTGACGAAGCCCCTCAGAGGAGGGAGTGCCCCCCCCCGCCTCCCAGGACCATGAGCGCGGCCATGCGCGCCAGCGCCCACGCCCTCCAGCTGGGCCGCGCGCTCGCGGGCCGCTCCCGATGCCCAGGGGCGGCGCTGCCCCCGATGGCGCCTCGCCGTCGTGTGCGGGGTCGATGTCGCCTTCGTCGGCGTCGTCGTTGCCGTCGTCGTCGTCATTTTGGCTCAAGACGGCACCCTGGCAGGACGGGTTTCCTCCGAGTCCTGGTCGAGCTGCCCGCCGACCTGAGACGCCGTTCTCTGCTCGGCCTGGCCCGAGCCCTCGCACTCTCATCGCACCGCCAGAGCCTGGAGCGCGCATTTTGCTGCAGCCATGCTCGCGCCTGCGCCGCCGCCCCCTGTGGGGGTGGACGCCGAGGGCCGACGGATCCGCCAGAGGACGGGCGAGCCGCCCGCCGTGGAGCTGGACGACGAGCTGACGGACGCCGAAGCGCCCCCCGCTGTGCAAGGCGGAGGCGGCCAGGCACCTGTGGGAGGAGACGCTCGCGTTCAGCTGCCGCCGCCCCCGCAGGATCCCTCGCAGATGGCGCTCGCCCAGTGTTCATCAGCTCAGTGACCACCAGCATGAGCGTGAAGGTGGACGCCGTTGAGGCCCAGGTATCGTCGCTGAGGACCACGGTGAACGCTAGCTCGGCCTCCATCTCTTCTATCCAGTCAGAGCAGCGGGCTCAGCGCGCGAGGCTCGACGCGCTGGAGGCGGCTTCAAGGGCCCCGTCGTCCAACGCCAGCACAGCCGCAGGCTTCGGTGCTCCTCTGCGACCTGGTCTGGGAGCGGGACACGCGTGCCAGGCCGACCCGTGGAGCGACTACCTGCGCAGGGCCCCTGGTGACCATAGTCAGTTCGGGGTTCCCCAGACTCCTCGCGGCGGGAAGAATACGAAGCATGTGGTCTTCGTGGCAGGCTTCCCAGGCACTTGGGACAAGGACGAGGTTGAGGCCCACCTGAGATCGAAGTTGAGCGAGCGGGCGACGCTCGGGTCGCAAGGTATCACGGAGATCTACGGAGTAGGGCGTTTCTGTGATCAGGCAAAGGTGGTCTTTTGCTGCAATCGGCAAATGTGGAATTTCATGAAGGCATGGAAGGGTAGGAAGATACCGTGCCAAGGAGCCAAGAACGACCAGCTGTGGCACAAGGTGGACCAGGAGCCCCACGAGGTCGAGCTCTCGCGGCGAGTCTCCTACGCGGTGAGGCTGCCCAGAGAGTGCGGGGAGGCCAAGAACCTCTGCAACGCGGACTCCACGATGGAGACTTTCGATGGCGACTGGGACCGTGGCCAAGTGGTTTCCCGCCGCAACGGGAGTGAGAGACCGATCAGGATCCTGCAGCGATCTCGCACCGCTGACTTGATGGAGATCTGCTCCCAGCCGCTGGCCAAGGCTCTGCTGGGCCAGGAGCTGGCAGAGTTCAAACTTCCAGAGGGGCTCGGAGAGATCAGCGACCCTCCCAGGCCACAGCGATTCAGGTCGAGGGGCCGCCGCTTCGCCAGGGACGTCAGGGACCTTGCAGTTCTGGGGTGGAATGTAAGAGGCGTCCGTGGAGCTAGGAGGCGGCAGCAGCTCCTCGATGACCTGCACGCAGAATTTGATGTACGTGTCATCCTTTTCCAAGAATGGTGCGTGGCTGGTGGGCCCGAGCAGCCCTTCGATGGCTATGTCGGCTATGTCGTTCATGTGTCGCCTCCAGCGGGGGCCTGGCAGAGATGCGCGATTGCGATCCACGAGTCTTTGGTTCCATCCATCGTGAGCCCCCCCGATTTTCCACGCTCGCACCGTGTCCATGGACTTGCAGCTGCCTATATGGGGACGTGTTCGGCCGATCACCAGCCATCAAGTCTCGCATATCGTTCGTTGTGAATACGCTGAGACCATTGCGCAGCTTAGAGAGTGTCTGGTTACAGTGCCTACTGGTTGCCACGCCATAGTCAGCGCTGACGCCCAGGATGGCCTGGGGATTGGGGACGGAGGGACGGTCGGCAAATGCCTGGCTACCAAAATGACCTGGCGGGGCGAAATGCTGTTCGATTTGATGACTGAATTCGACTTGGTTGCTACCAACACCTTCTCTCGAGGACAGTGGGTGGGGACAGGCTACATGCTACTACGACATAGGTTTCATGCTGTGTCACCGCGACTGGCTCACCTCAGTAACGTGCCGGGCCCGCTTCACGGATGCCGAGCAGAGTGATCACCTCCCCTTGCTGCTCTCTGCCATGCGTCAAAGGCCACCCCGACGATCACCGAACCCGAGAAGGCTCTCGAGGACGCTGACCTGATGGAGCGGCCGCCGCGCAAGCCCGTTGCTTGGCAATTAGAGGACGCCCACTTATTCAATGAGACGGCATGCTCGACTCCTGCGGGTACCGTACTTCCCGACCGCGATGGATGGCTTCACCGAGGGCGACCTCGCGAACGCGCTGGGCCTCTTCACGGACGGCTCGGCGCGGGGGCGACGGCGTGGACAGCGCCAGGCCGCTAGCGCAGGCTGGGGCTTCGCCGTCTACCGCACCACCATGCCGCACGACCAAGACGAGCCGACGGTCGAGGCGTGCGGCCCTGTGGTCACCAACCACCTGGACCCCCGCTTCCTGGGCGCCTGTGCCCTCGCGGCGAACGCGGGCGAGCTCTCGGCGATCGTGGACGCGCTCCCGTGGCTGCTGGGTCAGCGCGGCTCCCTGGAGCCGACGGCCCAGGACGGCAGGCTCATCCAGATCGTCACCGACTCGACGTGCGTCCAGGGACTCCTCACTTAAGTTTTTCAGCCACGAGAGAATGCCCCCTTGGCGATCCTGGCCGTGCACCTGTGGAAGCGGGCCGCCTCGCATTTTGAGGTGCACATCCGATGGGTCAAGGGCCGCAGCGGCAACCTGGGCAACGAGAAGGCGGACCTCTGGGCTAGACGGGGTGCGGACAAGCGCTTCGACACCGCCCAGTGGAGACGGCCCTACCCTGCCCATGATTGGGGAGCCGAAGAGTACCGACGACGAGTTAGTGAACATAAGCTGGCAGAGACTAGAGCACGCAAACGTCGCTGCTCCGAGATAGCCAGGGATGATGGCGGCGAAACCTTCGCGCAGCTCTTCAACCCGCAGCCGCGTATGGTCGCGTGCCCCAGACAGGGCGCCCCGTCCATCTCCGCGCTGGCGTCGGCGGTCTCCGCCGGCGCAGCCGCGGCCGGCCACGCCCCTCGGCGCGGGCGCTGGCGCCCCCCACAGGGAGACCCCGAGCTCCTCCACCTGAAGCGCTTGGAGCAGCTGCGCGCGCAGGAGACGGACTTGCGTGTGCGGCACCTGCTGGGGCCTACGGTCTCCAAGGCCAAGCGTGCCCTGAGGGGCCGCTTCAACGCGACCCACCTGAAGCGCTTGCGCGAGAGGGGGCGGGCCGACAGACCTTACCGCTCTGGCAAGCCTGTCTGCGAGCTAAAAACGGAAGAGGCACGGAGCGCCAGCACCATGCAGGCCCGCTGCGAGCTGACCCGCGCCTTCTACGCCGACCTGTTCGCTGACCCGACCAGCGACCAGGCCCTACCCGCCCGGGTGCGCTGCCAGTGGACAGCCGAGGACCAACAGGAGGAGGTCCCTCTCTCCCTCACTCTGCTCAAAACAGTCATCGGTCAATCAAAGAGTAGCAAATCGTGCGCCGAGTCTTGCATGATTGTGGCTGAGATGATCCAGGGGCTCCAGGACGATGTGCTCGAACAGATCCTCGCTGCGTTTCGCCTGAGACTCTGCAGCCACGTGAGCGAGTACTTCGACCAGGCCTGGGCGGAGCACGTTGTCCAGTTGATCCGAAAGAAACCTGAGGCCCAGAAGGTGGCCGAGTTCAGACCCATCGCCTTGGTGCCCGTGCTGCTGAAAATCCTGTCGATGATGGCCCTGGAGGTCCAACGTCCCATCTTGGAAGCTGATCGTTCTGAGTGCCAGTTCGCGTTCCGTCGTAGTTACCAAGCGCATGCTATTATATATAGCCTTCGCCATATTGTTGAGAATTTTTGTGAATGCCGCGATCCTCCCCTCGTCGTCGTCGTGGGAGACATCCGCGAGCTTTATGATTATATTCGACACCCCCTCCTGGCAAAACGTTCAGATGAGCATGGGGTGTCCCGTGTTGCCAGCAGTTTTTGGATTAGGGAGACCCGCAACTCTGCCGCTCGTATCCGCCTGCCTGGCAACCCCCTCACCAAGAGCGTTCGCAGGGAAAGGAGCCTGATCCAGGGGGACCCCGCGGCGCCCGAGTTGAGCAACGTTCTCCTGGATGCGGACCTCCGCGAATTCCAAGACCTCTGCCGAACAAATGGCTGGGGGCTCTGTCTCACGATGCCAGGGGGGGAGGATTTGATCCTCGGGATTCTAAGTTTTGCCGACAATTTCTGGATTTTGGCGCGTTCGGCCTCGAAGGCCGCTGAAATGACCGAGGCCTGGCTCCGCATTTAGGTTCCTGTCCACGAAATGGAGTGGTGCCATGCGTATGCCACTTATATCGGCACGCTTCGCGTCACGGGCACCTTGGTCCCCTGCCGCGAAAGAGCGGACGGTCTCAAGGTCCTAGGCACGTACGTTGCCTTCGATAAGAGTTGCACGGCGGAGGTGGGCAATAGGATCCAACGTGCGTGGCGCACTTGGGCCGCACACAAGAGTATGCTTGCTAATCCCAAAAGTAGTCTCAGCAAGCGACTGAAAGCCCTAGACCGATGCGTCCGCCCCGCGCTCACCTACTGCATCGGGAGCCTGCATTTGTCAGTATCAGGGCCCAGCCGCCTCCCCAAATGCCACACTACTATGCTGAGGCGAATCGTTCGCCCACCTACAGCCGACACCGCCGGCGAATATATGAATAATGTCATGCCCCAAGTAGTTGCCACCCGCATTAGATATGATATCGAGCCGTGGACGCAAACCTGCAGACGCCTGTCCCATGTTTGGGCGGGCCACCTCCACGGGATGGCACCGTCCAACCCCGACCGCATAGCGTATCGTGTACTTAGATATCGGGATAGATCCTGGTAGCTGCCATGCAACGTTCCCCGGGCCCCCAGTTGCACCACCGCACTGTAGGAATATGGCGCTGGGAAAGATATTTCTATAATTATTTTGGTTTCGACTGGTTCGCCAAACCATACTCTAAGCAGTCGTGGGTTGACGGACACCGCGCGTGGCTTGAACGTCGCCAAACTTTGAGATAATCTAGGCTGCCGCCTAGTTTGCAGATCAGCTCAGCAGCGTCGGGGCCAGGAACCGCCATTGCAAGACGCTTACGAAACGAAACGAAACGTCGTCGTCGTCGTCGTCGGCGGCGGCGGCGGCGGCGGCGGCGGCATCGTCGGCTTCGTCGGCGTCGTCGTCGTCTCCGCCGTCGTCGGCGAGGGTCGACGGCCTAATTCGGGTGATGGCGTTTTCGGGCCGTTCTGGGCCTCGGGGGGCGCGCCCTCGTTGTCACGGGGCGGTTGGATACCCCCCCCCACCCCACAAGTCTTGGTCAGAGGAAGAGGAGAACGATGAGGATGAGGAGGAGGAGAAAGAGGAGGAAGAGGAGGAGGACGAGGAGGAGGAGGAAGAACAGGAGGAAGAGGAGGAAGAGGAGGAGGAGGAGGAGGAGCAGGAGGAAAAGGGAGGAGGTGAAGGTGGAGGGGGACGAGGAGGTGGACGATGAGGAGGAGGAGGTGGAGGTGGTGGTGGTGGAGGAGGGAAGGAAGAGAAGGAGGGGGAGGAGGAGGGAGGATCAGAAGGGGGGAGGAGGAGAGGAGGAGAGGAGAGGAGGAGAGAGGGGAGGAGGATGGAGGAGGAGGTGGAGGGTGGAAGGGGGGGAGGGACAGGAGGAGGAGGAGGAGGTGGAGGTGGAAGGAGAGGAGGAGGAGCAGGAGGGGGAGAGGAGCAGGGAGGAAGGAGGAGGAGGGGAGAAGAGGAGAGGGAGGAGGAGCAGGAGGAGGGGAGGAGGAGGAGGAGAGAATATTGAGGAGGAGGATGAGGAGGAACGGAGGCGGAGGATGAGGAGGAGAGGAGAGGAGGAGGAAGGAGAGGAGGGGAGAGAGGAGGAGGGGAGAGGAGGAGGAGGGAGGAGGAGGAGGTGGGGAGAGGAGGAGGAGGAGGAGGAGGAGGAGGAGGGGAGAGGAGGAGGAGGAGGAACAGGAGGAGGAGGAGCAGGAGGGGAAGAGGAGGGCGGGAGGAGGGAGGGAGGGAGGGAGGAGGGAGGGGAGGGAGGGAGGAGGAGGAGGAGGAGGAGGAGGAGGAGGAGGAGGAGGAGGAGGACCAGTGTACACCCAAGAGTCAGCAACGATGTTGGAAGAGACCCTCCCCCCAAGTTCTCTCTCCACAGGCCCCTACAACGGTTGAGGTTCTCTGAGGGAAGTGCCTCGTTTGAACGACAACTTTTTGAAGACCCTGAAGCATGCCAATACAGTTTCTCGGGATTCCAACGCCACGGATAAACCTGACTTTTGCGTCTTGACGATCCTGAATCGTACCATAACGGCCTGAGCCTAGAACACCGCGAATCAGCAGACGTTGGGCGATCGCATAAGCCAGAATCGTTCCCAAATGCCATGTGTGGTACGTTGATCATGAGAATCCGTGAGACTTGGTTTAAACATTTCTAAGTCGAATGTGCGCGGCGCTAAGGCGAAAGCCACTTTTTGAAAAGGAACCGCCCTCAAACCGTGAAGCTCTTACACATGTTAAGGCGAATGTGCGCGGCGCTAGGCGCGAGCCACATGTTGCAAACCACTCGCCCTCAATCCATGAAGCTCTGGCAACTGTGTAAAACGAATGTGCGCGACGCTCAGGCGAGAGCCGCATTTTGAAAACCACTCGCCCCAAAGTTTTGAAACCCATGCAAAGTTTTAAACCGAATGTGCGCGATGTATGCATCCCGTCGTGATTTGTGCTTGACTCGACGGGGCGTGAGGGAGGAGGCGGAAGGGGGAAGGGGAGGAGGAGGAGGAGGAGGAAGCGAAGGAGAAGGAGGAGGAGGAGGAGGGGAGGAGGAGGAGGGGAGGAGGAGGAGGAGGAGAGGAGAGGAGGGGAGGAGGAGGAGGAGGAGGAGGAGAGGAGGCGGAGGAGGAGGAGGAGGAGGAGGAGAGGAGGAGGGAGGAGGGCGGAGAGAGGAGGAGGAGGGGGAGAGAGGAGGAGGAAATGGGAGGAGGGATGACGATGCTGCTGCTGCTGCTGATGTTGAGGAGGAGGAGAGGAGGAGCAGCAGCAGCAGCAGCAGGAGCAGGCAGGAGCAGGCGGGGAGGAGAAGGAGGAGGGGAGGAGGAGGAGGAGGAGGAGGAAGGAGGAGAGAAAAGGAGGAGGGGGAGGAGGAGGAGAGGAGGAGGAGGAGGGGAGGAGGAGAGGAGGAGGAGGAGAAAGGGCGGAGGAGGAGGAGGAGGAGGAGGAGGAAGGAAAGCGAAGATGTGGAGGAAGGAAAGGGACGAGGAGGACGAGGAGGACGACGGAGAAGGCCTGCATCGCATGCGTGCCTACGCTTGGTGTGGCCGTGCTGCGACGGCCGCCGCCGTTTCGCTCGCCGACGCGCCCTCGTCCGCGTCAAAGGCGCGCGGCCGGGCCACCGCCCTCGGCCCCATCCTGCCCGTCGGCGAGCTCGAGGAGGCATGGGCGCGGCTCGAGGAGCCCCTCGAGGAGGAGGAGGAGGAGGCGGAGGCGGAGGCGGAGGTGGAGGTGGAGGAGGAGGAGGAGGAGCAGGAGAAGGAGGAGGAGGAGGAGGAGGAGGAGGAGGAGGAGGAGGAGGGGGAGGGGGAGGAGGAGGAGGCATGCGCGCGGCTCGAGGAGCCCCCTGGGTCGAGCAGTGGCGAGGGGTCTTGGCTGGCCGATGGGCCCACCAAAGAATGCCCTAATAACCTCCTTTTGCGGCTTGCGCGAAAGATTATTGGTACATTTCTGGTTTGGGCCGTCTTGTTTTACCACATCGTCGCTATGACCTAGAGTGGAGGCCAGTCCACAAGAAACATCCCACAAGAACACCCAACCCTGATACCCCAGGACGTCCATTGATCTTTGGTGTGGGAGAATCACGCTTCCCATAGCGAAACCGTCCAAACACAAGAAGCCCAGGGCACCCTGGAGGCAAACAGGGTGTGTCTTGGCAAGGGCCCCCACTGAAAGAACACTGCTGTTGTTCTTAGAACCTTCTTAGGCTTTCAAAGCATAACGTGGTGGGACTCTAGGCATGCCGGGACTGCCGGTCGCCGGTCCACAGGGGCGCCTCCTGCGGGCTCGGAGATCCCTCGACTCATGCAGAGAAAGTGCGACGGATAGCTTTTCGCTGTCCTCGGCCTCTGGGGGCCCTTCCCGGGTCTCGGGACCATCCCAGAACGACTCAGACTGAAACCTCCTCCTCCTCCGCCTCCGCATCCGCCTCCTCCTCCCCCTTCTCCTCCTCCTCCTCCTCCTCCTCCTCCTCCTCCTCCTCCTCCTCCTCCTCCTCCTACTCCTCCACCTCCTCCTGATCCCACCCCGTCGAGTCATGCAACGATCACGACGTGAGTTGTTTTCACAATTTTCGGCTTCTGGGGGCCCTTCCCGGGCCTCGGGACCATCCCGAAACGACTCGGGATGAAAAACCGGTCCCGGGGAAGTGGTCGAGTTTTTTGGGGAGTCGACGTTATCAGCAGAATCATGACGTCGGGGGTCCGGGCTCGGGCCGATCGAACTGCGTACGTAAAGAACGGGTAACACGGCCGATTGCACTTCCTGCTGGTTTTGGACAGGGCACGCCATCTGCGTCGCCGCGGACGTTATCCATTTGAGACAGAAGGCAGCCTGCCCAGCAGCGGCCGCAGCCTGCCCGGCAGCGGTCGTGGGGGCTGGGTGTACTTCGGGAACAACCGAACTGGAGTTCGAGCCTGGACAAACACCAGAATGCCAGACATTCGAGGTAGCAGCTTCCATTCATCATCATAATATCAATGAAGGTCAGGATGAGGAGGCACGGGGAGCAAACTTTGAACATCAAAGCAAGATCAGTAGCAGGTGTCAAAGACAGCATGCAAGCACAACTCACAGCAAGAAACAGGCGATTGAGGTTCGAGGAGGATGGAGGTGGCTGACGCTCCAAGGTGTTGTTGTCTGTCGTCGTCGGCTTAGCCGCCGTCCTCGTCTTCCTCTGCCGTCCGTGCCGCCGTCTTCGTTCTCCGCAGTCGTTGTCGCCGATGGGAGTTCGACGATGGAGGTGCGAGGCTCGAGTGGGACGTCTGACTCTTCTGGGCCTGTGGAGCCTTTGTGGCCACGGCTGGACTGCCAAGCTCGGAATCTTGGCCAGGGTACAGATCCAGGGGGCCTGTCGACCGTCGTTGTCGTCGTCGGCCGTCGTGGATGTGGGACCGCAGCGGGGACGACACGAGAGGAGACGGCGCCCCCGGGGGGGCCCAAGTGCCACGACCTGCTGCATCGCGGTGATCATAGGGGCTCTGCAAGGAGAGGAGCCGGAGGCACCCAAACGGGCGCTCCGCTCCAGGCAGTCAGACATGGCAGAAAGGATGGGGCAGCTTTCCGGGGCTGCCCTCGCATCCTTGCCCCTTCGGTATTCGGCATCCTTCGGCATGCTGCTACGCTCCGCACGGAAAACGTCAGCATGGCGTTCCAAGGCCCCTGCATCCTCACCGCGCATCCTTTCGGGGGTGGCCAGAACCCCCAACAGTGACACGTCGATTAGTGAATTGTCCGTTTTCGGTTCTCGAGGGGGCGCCGTGGCCGTTATTTTCCAGGCTTGCGCCCGCTAGGTTTGGGCCTCAGGTCGTTTTCTCTAAACCACGTTTTACTAAAGGGGGGTCTGTCCATCCCCGATCCTTACACTATCCTGGTCGAGTGTACGTCCCCACGGTCTCGGCCAGACGGGGCCCTCGCTGGCCGGCTCCCCACCCCGCGGGGCCCGGAGGCAGCGCCCGCCGCGTCGCAGGTGATCACACGGGGCGCTCAAAGCGAGAGGCGTCGCGGGTGCCGAAGCGAACCCCTCGAGGCATCCCCACAATCTGGGCGCGAGAGTCGCAGGCGATTTCTCTCCCCCAATCCCCGACTTCCGCCAGAAAAGTTTGGTCGCTCAGAAAAGGGGAGGAATCTTGGGATACATCCCGAGGGGGCTATTCGGACGCACCCCTGTGGAGGATGGACGCCCCCCCCTCGTATATCCCAGGGTTGGGCCCCAAATTGTTGATCCTCTCGAAAACCTCACGGAGCCTGGGATAGGGGTCGACGCATCCCCTGTTAGAGAGGGTCCGTGTGTGTGACGTCCATTCATATCCCCATTCTATCACGACATACCGCTGACGCATCGGCTCGAGTGTTGGTGCGCTTACCGCGCTGCCGTCCGCGCAGCGCATCGGAAAAGGGTGCGATGCCCTCTTCCTCGCCCACCTCTGCCTACGGGCCACCGTATAGGATCGACTCCTCGGCCGTATCCCTATACACAAGGGCTCCCTCGAGGGCGCGAAGTTATTCGCGCTTCGCGCTTCGCGGTCCTCGTTCCTTCTCCCCCTCCTCCTCGTCCTCCTCTTCTCCCCCTTGGGGGGCGGCGCGAGAGCGCGAAGTTATTCGCGCTTCGCGCTTCGCGCAGCGCGAAGCGCGAAGTTGGGAGCCCTTGCCACCTCTACCTACGGGCCACCGTATAGGATCGACTCCTCGGTCGTATCCCTATACGCACACCATGCAACACGCTTGGTCGACTCCCCCTTGGTTGTCCCAAGTGCTGCGCCTGCTCGAGCAAGCGAGCCGCTGGAGCAGTGCCCGCAAAATCCGGGTGCGGTGGGGGCCCGCGCGGCGCCCCTGGTAGTTCCCCCTTTCGGCGAGTCTTAATATGACTCACAAGGGCTCCCTCGAGGGCGCGAAGTTATTCGCGCTTCGCGCTTCGCGGTCCTCCTTCCTCCCCCCCCTCCTCCTCGTCCTCCTGTTCTCCCTTTGGGGGGGCGGCGCGAGAGCGCGAAGTTATTCGCGCTTCGCGCTTCGCGGAGCGCGAAGCGCGAAGTTGGGAGCCCTAGCCTCTACCTACGGGCCACCGTATAGGATCGACTCCTCGGTCGTATCCCTATACACACCATGCAACACGCTTGGTCGACTGCCCCTTGGTTGTCCCGAGTGCTGCGCCTGCTCGAGCAGGCGAGCCGCTGGAGCAGTGCCCGCAGTCCGGGTGCGGTGGTGGCCCGCGCGACGCCCCTGGTAGTTCCCCCTTTTCGGCGAGTCTTGATATGACTCGAGTCGGGAATGATCCGAGTGTGAGCCAAGGGCTCCCTCGAGGGCGCGAAGTTATTCGCGCTTCGCGCTTCGCGGTCCTCGTTCCTTCTCCCCCTCCTCCTCGTCCTCCTATTCTCCCTTTGGGAGGGCGGCGCGAGAGCGCGAAGTTATTCGCGCTTCGCGCAGCGCGAAGCGCGAAGTTGGGAGCCCTAGGTGAGCGGTCTTTGCGCGTGGTGATGGGCATGACGAATCTGAGTGTGAGTGGTCAGAGCGTGGATGGGTCTGAGTATCAGTGAGTCTGTGTCCACGTGAGTCTCTGCATGAACGATTCGCAGAAGCGCGAGTCCGACTGTGAGTGAGTGTGGGCACGAGTGGACCTGAGCGTAAATATGGCACGCCACATAGGGGCAGAGAGAGAGAGAGCTGGTTAGAACAAAACCTGGGGGGCTCATCGGAGAGGACTTTTTCATATCCCGAGCCTAGAGAGGATACAGTGGGGACGCGCACTAAGAGACCGTATGTTTTTCGTGCCTGGGTTGCTTCGTTCCCAGCGATGCGCGGTGACTTCCCCAGTCGTTAAGTATATGTCCCCTGGGTACCCTGGGTTTCTCCCCAAATCGCACCTCGCGCCTTTCTCTATCACACCCCGGGAAGAAACTTTCCGGGCCAGGATGCCTTGGGTTTCTTCGATTGGAGGCCTTGGCTAAGAAACCCAGACCCTGGGCAAGACATTTGTTGGAATTTCAGGGCTGGGTGTTTTTTTACGGAGGTTTCTTGTGGAGCCGCGGCCCCACTGTGACTCGGGAGGGAGGCGGAGGCGGCGAGGGCCCCTTTGGCAACCCCAATCCAAGCTCGGGACACGGAGAAATCGGCACCCGGCTGGGCGCAGGACACGGGCGCAGGGGAAGGCCTCTTGGAAGCACCCCTGCTGCTCAGAAGGCGCTGGCCTCGTCTGCGGAGGCAATGCCGGGGCCCTCTTGGAAGCCGGGGTGCTTCCAAGAAGCCTTCCCCCCCTGCCCCCCTGCCCCCCCTCTGCGCGCCGCCGAGGCCCCCCCGAGGCCCGGCTCCTCCCTTCGCCTCCCCTCCTGATGGGCCTGTTTCCCACCACCACCATCGATTGGAGGGGGAGGGGGTCCTCCTCCTGCTCCTCCTCCTCCTCCTCCTCTCCTCATCCTCCTCCCCCTCCTCCTCCTCCAACTCCTCCTCCTCCAACTCCTCCTCCTCCTCCTCCTCCTCCTCCTCCTCCTCCTCCTCCAATTCCTCCTCCTCCTCCCCCTCCTCCTCCTGCTCCTCCTCCTCCTCCTCCTCCTCCTTCTTCGCCCCTCCAACTTATGGTGGTGGTGGTGAAAAACAGGCCCATCAGCCTCGGCGAGGGGCGTTCGGCTCCCGTGGGGGAGGCCGCCCCCCCCCCCCCCCCGGGAGCCCCGTGGCCCTCCTGAGGGGCCAGGCGGCGAAGGCCTCACGGCTGGTGCCGCCGACCTTGAAGACGACAAGGACGAAAACAAGCGGGGTTGTGGGGTGAAGAAGGAGGAGGTGGTGGAGGAGCAGGTGGAGGAGGAGGATGAGGAGGAGGAGGAGAGGAGGCGAACGCTGAGGAGGATGAGGAGGAGGAGGAGGAGAAGGGGAAGGAGGAGGAGGGGGGAGAGGTTGGAGGAGGAGAAGGAGGTGGAGGAGTTGGAGAAGGAGGAGGAGGAGGAGGAGGAGGAGGAGGAGAGGGGGAGGAGGAGGGAGGAGGGGGTGGGGAAGGACGGGGAGTAGGAGGAGGAGGAGGAGGCGAAAACAGAGGAGGAGGAGGAGCAGGAGGAGGGGGATCCCTGTGGCCCTCCTTCGGGTAAGATTTACATCCACAGCCAGTATGTCTTGGACTGTTTTGGAAGGGGCGCCAGAAGGCCGAAGCGGACTGGATGTGGACAAAAACTCGAGCCTCTGAGGGGCAGATGCATCCACACCCAGGGCGCCTCGGGCTTTCGTTGGGGAAGGGACAGCCCGAAACTCCAGACTGCCGTGGATGTGGACGGAAGAGTATTGTGAAGGCCTGACGGCCGGTGCCGCCGACCCTGAAGGACATCGACGACGACCAGGAGGGGGAGGAAAAGGAGGAGGAGGAGGAGGAGGAGGAGGAGGAGGAGGAGGAGGAGGAGGAACGCACCTCCTCCGCCGAGGCCAGGGCTTCACGGCAGGCTCCCGAGCCGGGGGACGACGCCCACCACGGGGCCCGATGAGGGCCCTGCAGCGGGGGCCCGCAGCCGCGGCGCCTCCTCTCCTCTAGGGGGCCCGCTCCTCCTCCGTCCTCGGACGCTCGAGTCGGCTCGCGGCGGTGGTTTCCGGCCTCGGGATGCGCTCCAGGTTCGAGGACATTCTTGTCGTTTCGCGGTACTCGGCGGCAAGCTAGGCTTCGATTTGTTCCAGGTTCTCGGACGTTCTCGTCGGTGCTTGGCATTTTTGTCCAGCCGCGGTTGCGCCTCGCCGAGAGCGTTCCGGAGGGTGCCGGGATCGCCCCGAGCGGCCGCCAGAGACCCGAGCTACGACCCGAGAAGCAGATTCGGCGGCGCGCCTGGGGATGAGGTGAGGAGGAGAAGGCCTTCTGAGAATTGCGGTGTGGCTCCTCGAGAAGTGTTCTGTGTCTTCGGGGAAGGCTCCGAAAATGTCTCAGAAAGCCAGGGGGGAGGATTTCTGAGCCATCTAAGAGGAGTTGGAGGAGGAGGAGGAGGAGGAGGAGGAGGAGGAGGAGGAGGCGGAGGCGGAGGCGGAGGCGGAGGCGGAGGCGGAGGCGGAGGCAGAGGCGGAGAGAGGAGGACGAGGAGGAGGAGGAGGTGGAGGAGGAGGAGGAGGAGGAGGAGGAGGAGGAGTGGGGGGGAGGAGGCTGGAGGAGGAGGAGGAGGAGGAGACGAGGAGGAGGAGGAGGATGCGGAGGCGGTTGCGGAGGAGGAGGAGGAGGAGGGGGGAGGAGGAGGAGGGGGAGGAGGAGTAGGAGGAGGAGGAGGAGGAGGAGGAGGAGGAGGAGGAGGAGGAGGAGGAGGGAGGAAAGGAGGAGAGAGGAGGAGGAGGAGGAGGAGGAGGAGGAGGAGGAGGGGAGGAGGGGGGGCCAGAAAGAGGAGGAGAAGGAGGAGGAGGAGGAGGAGGAGAAGGAGGCGGAGGCTGGGTGGGGTGCGAGGAGAAGAGGAGGAGGAGGAGGCGGAGGAGGAGGAGGAGGAGGCGGAGGGGAGGGGAGGAGGAGGCGGACGGCGGAGGAGGAGGAGGATGAGGAGGGAGGAGGAGGGAAGAGGAGGGAGAGGAGAAGGAGGAGGAGGAGGAGGAGGAGGAGCAGGAGGAGGAGGAGGAGGAGGAGGATGCGGAGGCGGTTGCGGAGGAGGAGGAGGAGGAGGAGGAGGAGCAGGAGGAGGAGGAGGAGGAGGAGGATGCGGAGGCGGTTGCGGAGGAGGAGGAGGAGGAGGAGGAGGAGGAGGAGGGGGAGGAGGCGGAGGAGGAGGGAGGAGGCCCGCCCCTTCTCACTCTCCCCACGGGCGCGCCGGCGATTCCCCCCCTTCCCTTCCCGTTCTCCTGGTGGCCAGGAGACGGCAAACCCCAGCTCCATGGAGCTCCTCGAGGCCGCGGAGGGTCGCGCCCGGGAGAAGTACACGCTGCTGCGCCGGACCAGGAGAGCGCCTTTTTCTTTGGTATAGCCGTGAGTCGGGCCTGTCCCTCTTCAGGCAGAACATCCATACATAGTCAAAATTATCCCAGTGCGACCCTACCTAGGAGTTGGAGCCCCTAGGAAAGCAGCATAAGCTAAACTAAGCTAAGCTAAGATAGCTAAGCTAAGCTAATATGAGATAAGCTAGGCTAAGGTAAGCTAAGCTAAGGTAAACTAAGGTAAGCTCAGCTAAGCTGAGCTAAGCTAAGCTAAGATGAGACAAGCTAAGCTAGGCTAAACTAAAATAGCTAAGCTAATCTGCTATACACTAAGCTAAACTAAGCTAAGCTAAGCTAAGCTACAGCTAAGCGGAACTAAGCTAAGCTAAACTAAGCTAAGATGAGATAAGCAACGCTAAGCTAAGGGAACGTAACTGGGGGAACTGCGGGGTGGATACTGGGTGAACCGCCCAGGGTGTGGAACACTGCCCGGCCCTTTAAGCATACCGAGTAAGAACCCTTCTAGGCAGAGCCTAGGTAGGGAACAAAATAGTCCGGGGACGATGTTTTCACCCTTTATGGCCATTCTGGAGCAATTTTGGTTTATTGTTTGTTTTTCGTCCAAATCCGCCTGTAGGGGGACAGGCCCGACCTGAGTATAGCCAGGACCCAGGTAAGGGGACCCGGTTAGTAGTAGGGACCAGCAGCTTCCAAATGGGCCAGAATCACCAACCCAGGTCTGCCGTAGCTGGTGTTTTTTCGGGTGACGGCAGTTCCGGTTCGTGGACTTGGGCGGGGGGGGGGGCGTTCCCCAGTACACATCACTGAACCAGGTCCCACCAAACCCAGTCCTGCCAATGCCCGGTTTTCGGCGGCGTGGGCGGCCTCCCCTCCCCAGACGTCGGGCGCTGGCCGTGGGCGAAGCACACGTCCGCATCCGCCGCCTCGCGGGCCGGGCCCCTGGGCCGCGACCCCGTGGGGAACTTCTGCGGGGCGTGTTCTTGTGCGCGGATGCCCCGCGCAGAACGTAGTCATCCACGCGACCGCGTGTCCGGGGGATCGCGCCCCGGAATCCAGGCGGCGATTGTGTGAGTATCCATCTGTTCGCCGCACGTGGACTGATCGTACGGTAGGTTTGCGTCGTGTCGACCAGCGGCGACCCCGCCGCCGACGTTCAACGTTGAACGCCGACGGCGGCCTAGAATCGGTCGATGTTGAACGATCGGACGTTGCGGAGACGGCCGATCGTTCAAGGTTGAACGATCCCTGCGGTGTCAAAAACCAACGCTGGGGTCGGCACGACACGAACCTGCCGTAGGGGTACAGGAAAAGGGGCTCTGGAGCCGTTCCCCTTTTTTCGGACCCCCCAGGGGGCCTTCACCGGGACCGTCAAACAGCTGCTCGGGATGAAGATTTAGGTTTGGGGCAAGTCATGGAGCTTGGGAGCCGTTCCCCTCGGGACCCGTCTTCTCAATGGTGGCATGGGCTTTCCGAGATGGAAGAAGGTCGGCCACGCGCAGAGGGACGAAGGGGGAGAGGGCAGGCCTTTTAGAATGAGGCTGCTTGTCATAAGGCACGGGCCTTGCTCATGCATCCATGCTCATCACGGCCCCTCCTCCTCTCAAGCTGCCCCTGCACCCATCCCTGCCTCCAGCTCCTCCTCCCATTATTCCTCCTGATCCTTCTCTTTTCCGTCCTCGTCCTCGTCGTACTCCTCACCTTTCCCCCTTCCGCTCCCCCATCTCATCGTCCCTCCTCGCCCGCGCCCCCTCTCCCCTGTGGAATTGGGGGCGTGTAGGGAGGAGGTTAGCAGCAGCAGGGCAAGGGAGGACAGGAGGACAAGGGGGAGGAGGAGGAGGAGGAGGAGGAGGAGGAGGAGGAGGAGGAGGAGGGAGGAGGAGGAGGAGGAGGAGGAGCAGGAGGAGGAGGAGGAGAAGGAGGAGGAGAAGGAGGACGAGGAGGACGAGGAGGACGAGGAGGGAGGGCGAGGGGAAGGACGAGGTTGAGGACGAGTGGCAGGGGGCGGACGGAGGACGCGTGACAGGAAGTGAGAGGGGGGAAGATGCGAGGATCGGAGGATGAGGCGGGCCGAGTAGGAAGGACGATAGGGGAGGATGAAGAGGACGAGGAGGAGGCGGGAGAAGCGAGGCGATGGTGGCGATGGCGAGGGGAAGGGGGAGGGGGAGGGGGAGATGATGGGTTGCTGCGCAGGGGGGCGAGCATTGATTGGCATGCC